AGCTATGGGCTGGGGGAGCAATAAAGGGTGTTAAGCAGGCAAGGAGGTGAGCTGTCAGATTTGTGAGTTGAAGACACCTCTGTGGTTGCCAAGTGGAGAATGCACTGTAGGTGCAGGGACTGGAGGTGGGAGAGCAGTCAGGAAGCTGTTGGAAAGGTTGCCTGAGGGAAACAGTGGTGTTCTAAAGCAGGAGGGTGGACATGGAGACAGAGGGCAAAGGATGGAGTCTAGAAAATCATGAAGTAAAATGATAATACAACTAATAGGAGTAATACCAGCAGCCAACATTTACTGAGCACTTACTGCATGCCAGGCCCTGTGACTCGGGGCTCCCTACATATTACCTCAGTTAATCTTTCTACAGCCCTCTGGATGTGGGTTCTATCATTATGCCTATTTTAGGGGTGAAGAGGCTGAGGCTCTGACTAGGAGATGCTGGGTTCGTGCCTTTCTTTACTAGGATGGGAGCTGGGGTTAGGGGGTTGAAGGTACCATTCAACGACATGAGGACACCTGTAAAAGCATCCTGGGAAAGAGAACACCTAATGAGGGATACACTGTGGCAGGAAGCACTTGAGGTGGCTCCCTCACCACTGCTCATGGGTTTCCTGATCTGGGGAGATGGGCTCTGAGGTGAGGGGCAAGCTACCTAGAAAGGCCCTGATCGCAGCTCTGTCCCCAGTCCCTCTGCCTGACAAGCCAAGGCTCCAAGAGTCCTGTGTCAGCTGGGACCCAAGGGAGAAACAGAAATCTCTGGCTGGGCTCTTCATCCCAGCCACTAGGTGAATTTCCTTCCCAGGGAGTTGAGGAGGCATTGGACTACAGCAGGTCCCATGGAGGTGGGGACAAGACAGAGTGACAAAGACCTGGAGTTGGAGGAGAGGTGGGCAGTGGGGCGGATGGAGGAGGGGTTTCCATTGGCATTTGCTCATCATTTTGGAAGGTCAAGTGACTCTAGGGGACAGATGTCAACACACACACACACAGAGACACACACGCGGGATACTCTCCATCACAGGGTCCACCATTGGCCCTGACCTGACACAGAACAATGTTCCTGATGACAACATGCAAATCATAGATTAAAGCCAAAGGCCTCAGACCTGCACCTGCCCCCAAGGAAGAGAGGAGGGCAGGCCGGCCCCAACACAGTCCTGCCTGCTCCCACACCTCCCACGGCTTTGCATGCTGGGACTGCTGTTCCCTGCCATCTGCCTGGCCAATTCCTACTTGTCCCTCCAAGCTTCCCCCTGCATCACCTCCTCTGGGACAGTTCTTACTCTCACAGTCCCAGGAAGCTCCCTCTCAGCCCTCGCCACATAGTGGCATCATCATCCTTTCCTTCACCCCTTGCCTCAGAATACAAGCTGGGCTCACTGTGTCCCAGCTCACCTCCCTACCCCTCACCCCTCAGCCTGGGTACCCAGAAAACCACAGGAGAGAAGGCCAGGGAACCAGCTGCTCTGTCACCACTAAAGAGATGGGACCTCCCACCCCAGCCAAGGAGCCCCTATCTTCCAGAGACAATGCCAAGGCCTGGGTGAGTGCCTCACCACCTGGTCCATGCAACAACTGGCCGGGGACTACAGAGTCTTTCTATTGATGGGAAATGAGGAGCAAACCCGCTCACTAAGGCGGCTCAGAGGTCCCAGGAGATCGAGGCAGCACGCAGGAAAGCTGGTACTGCACTATTCATCTTCCTCCAGGAACACTCACACCCATGGCACCACAAGGTCTCTCT